GGAGGAGGGGGAGGAGGAGAGCCTGCTGGGCCACCACCAAATCTGTCCGTCCCGCAGCGGTCCGGCTATACCGGCTCAAAGGACGGTTTCTCTGGCAGAAGCATTAAGCAAAAATAGCCGGGCTGCACTGGAGAATCGGGGTCATTATTTTTCCCAGTTTTAAGTTTTTTACCTTTTTAAAATGAAAGGTTGGGATTAGACACAGCATCCACTGCAACTCAAACAAAAGAAAAAAGAAAAAAGAAAAAAAAAAGAAGAAAGAAAAAGACAGCTTTAACTTTCTCTTGAAAGCATTCAGAAATTAATTCACTTTCTATTTAAAAAATAGACGAAGTTAGAAGCACATTCACCTTCAGAAAGCTTGGCTGAGTTAGTGGCAGTTTATGTTATTGTGAAAACCAAAGTAACAGCTTAAAAAAAGATACCATTAAATAAATATATATGGACACACGAGGCCTGTAATTCTACATCAGATTGTCAGAAATCCTATTAAATCATATGATCTTAAATCTTCTGGTTTATGCGCTCACCAGAAACCCTTGGTGGAATTGCAGCCATAATATAGTCTGCAGTTAGCTGTCTCTAGGTACAACACAGAGGCAATACAGAAAAATTGGATTCTTAATAAAATTTGGATATGCCAAGGGGAGGTGTTGCTGCTCTGAATGCTGAGTTATGCTGCCTGTGATCACAATTCTTTTTGAGAATCCACTGTAACATTAACCATACACAACAGACTGAGCATTTTAGTCAATGGAAACATGGCCTGAAATATTACTGACAGGCACTAATTTTTTTTTTCATCATAACTCTTCATAATAAACAAGTATTTTTAGTTTCTAAGTTATGTAGCTTCATTACAGCGTTCCTTCTAAGGAATGCTAACAAGGACCATTTATAAGCATTATAAGCATTAAAATTTTAAAGGCATATAAACATTAAGCATCAGAAAGCATGCAATCCAGGTAATAACATCATCCAGAGTTTTCTTATTAACTATTCATACTTGATTTGATTTTGCTGCAAAGGATTTACCAGTTACATTGAATTAATGTATTGACTGATAATTTTACTATTTAACATCTAATTGACCATAAGGAAAGAAATATGAAAAACCAGTAATTCATTAAGTATCTGTCATTGCGATTTATAAAGGGATGAAAAGCATAGTAGGAGTAGAAATCATTATGGAGAATATTAAAGTGTGTCACTACTGGGCAAGGACATTTTTGCATGCGTTATATCCACTGTGCGTATGCAGGTCAGTGTATGGGAGAAAACTTGGCTCCTTGGTGTCCCTCCTCCGGCATGGGAGGAAGGGTTGCTCTGGCTGGCCTGGTGGCTGAGACACCCCCATCCCCAGCTGAAGTTCCTGCCCAGGCAGCTGAGCTGACGTCCCGCTTGACTTTAAACACTACTCTAGCTAAAACTCTAGCAATCCGATGCAATCACATTGCAAATCAAGGCCAAAAGGGGAGGCAAAATTAGCGTCAAAAGCTGGCTGAACCAAGGCTAAATTAGGCTCTGTATCCTTTTGGGTTTGAGGAAAGGTTATCAGCGCTGTTTTGGAGTAAACATTGCTTGATGCTGATGACATTGATTTTAATGCACTTAAACGTTTTTCATTTGGTGGAAGTGAAAATGTTCCCTATAGTGTCATGGACAGGACTGGAAAGAAGAAATAGAGGAGAGGTCTATTTGTATAGAAGCATGGCAGAGCTAATTTAGAAGGTCTGTCTCATGATGACAACAGAAAGTGGGAGACTGAACAACTGGGGGGTGCTGTTCTCTCTGTGAGAGCCCTTTGAGGCAATCCCTGCCAGTGTAAACCATCTGTGTGCAAAGATGTTGCTTATTTGGATTTTGCAGATCCAAGGTATGCCCTATGGGAACTGTTTACTTCTCAGCGACGGTCCCGTCAATAACAGCACTGGCATCCCTTTCTTTTACGTGACGCCAAAGGATAACACAGTGGCAGATCTCCTGAAGAATCCCATGGCTTCTCTGACCCTGCCAGAGGCAGACGGAAATTTCTGCAGGTAACAGAGTTTTATCGGTCTACTACCACCTTCAGTGAGAACAAAGTCCTCAGAACAAAATTCTGGGTCCCCAGCTTCAATGCCTTGTATTTGTTTTTGGCTCCCACCATCAGCTACAAGCTCCTCCTTAGCTTTGTTTTGCAGTAATCTGCCCCAGTAAAGCATGGTAAAGAAAAGCAGAAGTGTCCTTGAAGTATAGTGTAGCATCAACAGACGCAGTGGCTTTCAGCTTGCACATTAACGTACCTCAATTTTAATCTCTTCTTGGAGGTGCCAGATAAAATCGCCGTGTTCAAGATCCCATTCTAGGCCATGATGATCTAGTCAATGAAGTCCATATTGTATCAAGGGCTATCCAAGTCACAGTAAAGCAGACACCCTGGCTCTGCCGACCAGCTCTGGAGGCACTGCTGATTGCCTTGACAGGGCTTTAGCTCTCCAGGCTCTGTAAGGGGATCTCAGGCTCTCAGTTCATATGTTATACACTCAGGACCACGCCACTCAGTCCAATTTCCACCTCTTCAGAGGGTCCAGTTGAATATGATATTGTCACAAATTTCTGGCACCTTGTATGTCACAAACGGTTGGTAAATGCTCCCCCACATAAAGGAATCCGGGTCTGAGATTGACTGATCTACAGCCGGCCCCAGGTTTGTCTCTCTAGAGATAGCAGTGAGTTGACTTCTTTCTTCCTAATCATATGTACAATGAATAACTCCAGATCACTGAAGCTTTATGTGTGTAAAATATACGAATGTAGACTGGAAGATGATTCAGTTTTCCCCTCCCTGCTCGTCTCCTTGAAAAAGACATAGCTCTGCCATATGTTTGTTTACAGCCAAAAGTGTGGCAAACTTGGCTGGGTCACCCTTGTGTGAAGTGTTATTTCCAAAGGCCTCCTTACGTGATGAGGTACCTGACATCGAAATTGTGTCAGACAGGACTCTCTTACCAAAGCAGATCTTAGCTGATACTCCAAGGAGAGAGAGAGAGAGGGGAACTGGAAATTACAGGCTGCTTCAGAAAGAAACAGGACTGAAAGTTTTTACCCCAACTTAAGGTCCTCTTTGGGGGAGGAGAGGTTTATCTTAAGAACTGGATCCCAGATTTCCCCAGCTGAGGATTGCCTTGGGCACCATCCCACCTCTTGGGCACCATTCCACCTCTCAAGCCCACTTGCTGAGAACAGCACTGGAAAAAGCAGTGAATGGCAAATATGAAGCATGTTACTATTGCACTTGTCTGTATTTGCCTCCAGAACATACTGTCTGTTTTCTTAAGAGTTATACAGTGGTAAAATGAAATGTTTCTCAGTGCTAAGCAGTACAAGTGATTTCAGGCTGACATCCCATTCCCAAAGAACAGAAATCATTGGCTCCCTCTTGCAATGGCAGACACCTAAAAGGAACCTTCTATCACAAAATTTGTTAAGGTAATTCAGCTTTGAATGCTTGAGAAGGTCAACAGAGTGGTGAAGTTAAGACCAGGATGCTTCATTCCTTAAAATTATTTCATTAAATATTTTGAATTAATAATTTCAAATTTAAATAAATGCATCAGTTATTTTGTAATAGGCTAATGGAACTTATCGCTGCTTTCTAAGCTTTTTCAATCAAACAGTAAGCTGAATATCTAGACCAAGTGCTTAAAAATGTATGTTAAGCTCCATCTCCGAGCATCTACCCAATGCCCAATTTTCAGAGGCTCAAGACTCAGAGCAGCTTCCATTGATGATAAATTCTGGTGTTGAGCACTTCTGAAAACAACACACCTATTTAGGCACTTAAGTGTGGCCTTTCATCCCTGACTTTAAACATCCACTCTTGAAAGTCTTTGCCTTTTATGTCTTAGCAACGTCACCGCCTGATTTACCTGTTTGGAAAGTGCCAATTCACCAACAAAAGAGAAATAGAAATATGAAATTCACATCCATCACAGCCCTTTGAGAATATTTATTTGCTCTCTTTCTATTAAGTAGCTATTCATTTCCAAACCAAATCACTACCTTTTTGTTTCATGGGCCAGAATGGGCTGCTGTTTGTCTTGCAGCCAGGACAACCTGGATTTTGCCACCCGACTCTCTCGGCCCCTCCGCAGCCCGAGACCATGCTCTCTGGCCAGAAGAGCTCTCTGGGCACTGCCAAGGAGCTAAACCCGGATTTCCAAGACAGATTAGGCCAAACTAATTACCGGTTGCCACGTCCCTACTCTCCCTCCCTGCCACCAGTCGCGTGGTGTGCTGTGTCCTCCCCCCCCGTCCTCCATCAGCTCTGGGCTTTGCCTGACCCTGCGTTGAAATACAAGTGTGAAGAAAATTAACCCGACAACGAGAATAGGGTTTTCAGTCGGTCGTTCTTCCTTTCTTCCCATGGCCTCTGCTGCTCCTGGCTGTGCAATCCCACCCCCTCCCTTCAGCTGACCATATGGCGGGCCTATTTTAGCTCAGTAACCCAGCAGAAACCTCTTCCCTTTTTTTTGATTAGATTTCTACTGGGTTAATAACTTGGATCGGCTCCTCAAGAGCCAGAGGAGTGCAAAGGAGAGGGGAAAGGAGAAGGTGGAGGAAAATAGGGCATCCCCATTTTAGCATGTAATCGTACTCTAAATATTGAGCTTACTACTGAATTGAGTACAAAGATTCAGAGTCTAATCAGTGCTCCTTGCATTATTTATTTTGTTCTTACATTCAGTTTGGTTTTCATTATTTCTGGAGTACTCATCTGGAACAGATGTTGGTTGGCATTAGTGCAAAGAAGCAGCGATACGGGGAATGAAAAGCTGGGGCATTTCTTGAGCTGCACTTTGTGTTTTTGACGATAGCTGGGAGAACGGGAGGAAGCTTTGGGGCTGTCTCACAGCCAGGACGCACGTGGGCACTGGGACTTTTAACTTTCTTCTTTCCCTTCCCCCTGTAACCGGGGTCAGAAATGAATTTCCGTTTTAACCCGTGAGTGATTTGTACATTTCAAACTAGCAACACTTTAAACCGCAGCCCTGCACAGCATCCTACCGAGAGGGGGCTTCTGTGGGCAGCGCCACAACGAAGGAAACAACAAAGGTGTCGGGGTCCCGCTGCCAGCGCGTGGGGTTGCCTGTCCCCAGCACTGGGTGTGCTGCTGGTGACACGGCCGGCCTGCCACCTCTGCCGCCCAAGGGCAGCCGGAGCATCCCTTAGGGGTGGGCTCTGCCTCCCGAGATAGCCAGGCCATGCCACGCAAACAGCGCATAGCATCCTTCGTGCAGAACTCTGCGTGGTGGCTCCGGTTCTGTGTAGCAGGTTTCTTCCTCTTCTTTACTCAGACTGTACGAGAAGCAAAACCTTTTTCTCTGAAAGACCTCGAGTCCCGCTAGTATTAAGATGGTGTCTGCGGGGTTTCGCTCGCAAAGGAAAGTGTCATTTATAGACGGTTTTAATACCAAAAGTTCTCTCAGCCAAGGGCGTCATTGTTTTGGTTTCCAAATAATTAGACAAAATAGCTAAATGAATAATGCTCTACGTGAGAAAGTTCATGTCCTTGTATGCCAGCAATGTATTTGTAGCTCATGTTCACGTGGAATTTTATTAGAATTTCATTATTAATCTACTCTGAGTTGTAAGAACTAAAATAAATGTGAAAGCTGGTCGATGCCTGTAGTCGATGCTCCTGGGAGTATTTGGCACTCTCCTGAAAAATGCTTCTGACCTATTGCACGCAAAAGAAATCTCTGGCCTTTAGAAAGAAAACATAGCTGACATTTCAATAGTCTTCTTGTATCTAATGAGTATCAAGTGACTTGTGTGCATGTACATCAGTTTGATATTAAATTTATTTAGTAGCGAATTTCATTTGTTTTGTTTCAGAACAGACTCAATTTTCAAACCATGACAATAAATATTTTCAACTTTCAGGGATGTGAGGAATACAGAGTGGCCTTTTTGGTGTTCCAGCCTTAATATTTAATCAGCTGGAGAGAAAATTTGAAAAGCCCAAACTAATAAGAGAAATGACATTAAATAACGAAAGAAAGAGAGCTGCAAGGCATCTGAACAGGCACTAATTGCAAGACATTATAACGTCGCGGCTACAGTCTGGATTCCTCATCTCTGACCTAGAGACTGCCATTTCCCAGAGGGAGACGGGCTGCACTTCTCTGAGAAGGCTCTCTGATGGCCAAGCTACACACAGCATTCGTTAGTAACTACACTGCATCCTATCTGAAGGCTGATAAATGGATAATAGAGGCAAGAAAAATTAAATGGTTCAGGGCTATAAATAGACTAAGCTGGCATGTCTGTGCCACAGACAAGCTGAAAAGATTGAGTCCCATTCTTACAGCCTTCAGAGGGAGCAAGACCGAGCCCGACATTAAAGAATAGAGCAGCTATTGTTCTAAACGCATTTCCCAAGACACAGGGCTGCTCAGAGGATCTCCCTTTCCAAGCAAGCTCCTGGGCTGCCTCATTACAGCTGCAGTCTGGAAAACAGGCAATTAATTTTAAACGTGTGTCGCCTCCTTGACATCAGGTTTGGCGCATTCGTAGGGACCAACTGCAGCTTTCTTAGTGAAGGAGCAGTTACACGGCTGCCATGAACTGGTTTTCACACAAAGGGGAAAGAAAGAAAAGCAGCAATGGGGTCAGTCCATGCATTTGTTTTCCTTTGCTGTTAGTTTGGAGGATGGTGTTTCAAATCCACACTGCAGACTGGGAATGATTTTGAGGGACCCAGGTTCCTCTCCTGGTTTGTCATCTGCATCAGGGGTGGCTCCATCAGAGCCATTTTACCCACCATGCTTACCTACTGCTTGAGGCAGTAGATCGCCACAACCGGGCAGATGTCTTCTGTGGATATAAGCTGACTCTGTAGGTTTCCTAAACTCTGCATTGAAAAAGCTGATGGGAAGCACTGAGCATCTCCAGCATTTCTGGATCGCGTGGGACTAGGAGGGTAATTTGGTGGGTTGGGGTCCCTGCTGCGTGGTTGATCGGCAGCGTCCATAAACTGCCGACTTCATTCCCG